CCTCCTTCTTTCCCTTCCTCCCTCCCTTCCTCCTCCCTCCCTCCCTCTCTTTCCCTTCCTCCCTCCCTCCCTCTCTCTTTCCCTTCCTTCCTCCCTCCCTCCCTCCTCTCTCTCTCTCTCCCTCCTCTTTCTCTTTCTCTTTCTCTTTCTCTTTCCTTCCCTTCCCTTCCCTTCCCTTCCCTTCCCTTCCCTTCCCTTCCCTTCCCTTTTCCTCCCTCCCTCCCTGGTTTTAAAAATGGGATGAAAGACACAGACGCAGACGTGGCCATTAGCAATCATGTTATATGGTGGGATTAAACTGCGTATCATGAAGTAAAAGAATTCATGGCTTTGCTTTTAACTGAGAAGAAATCATTTTTATATCAGAGTATCTGGTTTGTTTTTCCTAAAGGATGCTAGTTGTTCTTTTCAAAACAATATATTGAGATTTATAATTTGTGGGTGGAAATTAGAGGACATAATGTAGAAATGTGTATCACGGAACAGTGAAATGTCAGTGAGTTGCAAGCCTGCTCCAAGGATTTTAGGGGGTATAGTGAAATTGCTTGAACTTGGGTATTTTGGTGAATATGTGAATGGACTTCTAGATCTTACCTTCCCTTGAAAGAACATAGGTGCAGACAACGGTTCTTATGAGTTTAATGCAAAACGTAAAAACTTTAATGCTCGTCTATCTCTCATTCACAGGAAGGCTAGGCTTCATTCAGAATAATTACCTTTAAAATGGCCATCTATAAATGATTAGAAAATTTAAATGAATATTACTTTGGGCTAGATTGTGCTCCAAGCAGCACTTATGTCTAGAAGAAATATTTCCATTTAATTTCAAGAATGTAGTTTTGGTCACCGCTGCAACTGAATAAAAAACCAGGCCAGTTGTTTGCATTTCTGAACAAATGAATTATAACTCCATTTCTTTCCATTAAAGATACATAGCACATTTTCACATGCTTTGGATAAATAATAAATACACAGCTTTAATACTCTTTATTGCTTTTCTCTCCTGATATATAAGAGCACTCTTGCATATCGCCATGGTGTTTAAAGATACATAAGGTAAAAACATTCACATCTTAAACATACCACATCTGTAGCTGATTTTTGGTAAGCATCATAGTGTTTGTTAAGAAAGGATTTTACATTTTGCAAATGCGGTCAATCATTATAGGGATACCATTTGGGGAACTGGAATAATTAATGCAGATGAGGTACAAAACTAATCAAGGGCAGTAACGAGGGAGTGAAAGAAAGTAGAAAAGAAAAGAAGGATGGTGAACCTTTCACGGCTGACATTCAAGGCAATTCCTCAGCTTTTCAGCCCTTGACCTGTACTGGCCACCCACCCCCCAAAGCTCTCCCTGGCTGGAGAACATCTAGAAGACCATGAGCTTCATCTGAACCAGGTTCTACCCTTCTCCTGTACACAGGCAGCCATATTTCCAGTGAGATACAGGAGGTGTGGGTCATCTCCAGCGTGACAGTTGTGGAAGACACTGAGATCATTATATTCTCTTTCTGAATGGTCTGGCCTTAACCTTCTATTAGGACTGCAAAAATTCTTTGGAAGAACGTTCTGGACCTGATGCAAACACCCTCTGTTGTTCATTTAAGCATCCCCAGCTTTTTTCAGGCTTCTGCACAGGTTTGAAGTAAAGAAGTTATCTCTGCATTATTAAAGATAATGTGCCTCTTAAACCTGTGGCACCTTTTTTCCAGGGCTGTATGGAAGCCTAAGAAAAGAGAGGCTGTTTCAGGGAATTGCAGAGTGGTGCTGTGATCGCAAGGGGTCTGGAA